TCGCTCCTGTACCTGCAAGCAATCTAGATGCTTGAAAAGTGACTAACTTGGCCTAATTAGTTCTGATTGGGTTTCCTTAAGAATTAGCTCTGGAACAGTTACTTAAATAGCTGTGCACCCTCCCCACTCTCCAGGAGGCCAACTCGTTTAATTTCCATGTCTCAGAAGCAGAAAGCTTTTGGATAGAAACTGCCATGAGTACAGGTGCTAGGACTGGCCCCATGCAAACACCGCACCCTTCAGGCCTCCCACGGGGACAGGAGCACAAGACTTTTGGGAGTTTGTCTGCCTCAGCTAAGCTGCATTGTACACAGGCAGAGCAGGCTTTTGAGCTTTGGCCGTCCTGGAAAAATTCTAAGAGCTAAATTGCTGACGACTCTGAAACGGTGCCAAATTAATTTGCAGCTCCTTTGCTGCCAGGCCGCAAAGAGGGTTTTAAAAGCACCTCCGCCACCTCTGTAGGGGGACCAATCAGAGAAGGGCCGTTTATTTACACGAGGAGTGTCCAAGTTGAACCGCAAACGCTACAGCAGCTCTCGCTAGCGGCCCCTCAAGGTGGAAGAGGGCCCCTTTCTGCGGGCTCCTTGTCCCTTCCGCCAGGCCCAGAGGCTTCCTGCTGCTCTGCAGCTACGCTCCCTCACCGGCCTGAGGAGCAATGCTGGTCATGTCGGCTGGGAGGGAGAATGAGATAAATCCCGGTTCGTCCTGGCAGCTTTTGCCCTTCCTGTGCCCCCCGATCTCTACGAATATTTGGTATTTGAAATTTCTTTCCACAACAGAGTCTTGAGACCGTTCAGCACGAGTGAGTGATGGACTTCCATTTGGCTTGCCAAGCCACTGAGGGTGGTGCAAGTCTTCAGCTGCTTCTCCAGCTCTTCTCTTAAGTCCGGGGGCACTCCGTGGAGCAAGAACTCTTGGAGAAGGCCACACACTTTTGCCAGGTTGGGCTGGACCACGTCACTCTTGCACAGCTTCATGAGCTTGTCGCAGGGTGCCACGCAGTCCTTCCCGTAGGTACAGTCAATGTTCTGCTCACAATGGCGCCCCTTAAGGAACTGCCGGATCGTCATCTCTGTCGCCACCTTCCTCAGGTCAACGATCTTGAAGTCGTACTTCTTGTTGTAGCCCATGTTCCTGAAGCCGGTCTCACAAATGTAGAAGTTCCCATAGGCGCCGTGAAAGATCTCCTCCACAAACTCCAGAAGGCCTATGGCAATTTTGGCTCGCCGTGGCCACGCCGGGGAAAACCACTGGTGGATAACTCTCTGGATGGCGGAAGGCAACAGTGGCTGCAGAAACGGAGGGACGTCCATGTTGTAGAAGGAGGTGTGGGTAATCTTCTCCGTGATGTACAGGTCTCCACAGTGCCCAAGCAGCTTGGAGGTGTGTTCTTTCTCATGCAAAGACAGGGTGAGCAGAAAGTCATTCTGCTGGAGCAGCGCCCACATGGACTTGGCCTCAGCCAGAGACAATTTGCCATCCTGGCTGACATCGGCCACAGTAATGATTTTGTTCACTAAGGCTGCAAGAGAGGGCTGGTCTCCCAGGTTGGACTGTAAGCAAAGAAAAAGACATGGTCAGCTTCTG